TGTGTGTGTGTGTGTGTGTGTGTGTGTGCGCGTGTGTGTGTCAGGTTGAACTGAAGATGTTGAGTTAAAATTAAGAGTCGTTGAGTTTTTGCTGTCTTTGCAGAAACATGCAGGTCACCACAGCTGTGAAAATATAATTAACACAAACAGGCATGTGAGAAACACACACACACACACACACACACACACACACACTTCAACCTGGTGGGTCTCAATTAGCCGTCAGATTCCTCACGGAGGTTCAGTCCTGAGCTCGTCGGGAGGAAAACATCATGAGACTCGATGACTCATCCATGAGCTTTAACACGCACGCTGGACTCAACCAACCAAACTGAGTATTAAACATGTTTATGACACTCTCAGCTCCACTGAACCATCAGACTTCCTGTCTATGACTTTTCACATTAAAACTTTAATGTTTTAATGTTAATCTTTAAAAGCAACAGCATGCGTGACGCTTACAGACCCCAAACCAAAGAAACAGCATTTAGTATTTTTATTAAGAGCGTCATCAATAATCCACTTTGCCAATACTCCCACTGAAGACTGAAATATGAGTCATAATTACACTAAAACATATTTATTTCATTGTTGTGGTGGCAGTAACTCAGTGACGTGTCTGTGTGTTTGTGAGTTGCTAACGTTGTGTTGGAAGTATTTTCCAGTCCATTATTCTCTGTTTCATCTGGATTAAAGAGCCCTTTGTCTGTCTGTGTCCTGAAGGCGAGCAGCTGAAGCAGTGTGAATACAAACATCTGTGATATCTGATCCAATAATCACGCTCACTGAAAAGCACTTCAGCTACCTTTAACTACACATCTCAGTTCAGTATTTAGGGTTTTTAGCTCTGCTGGGATTCAAATTCAAGCAGAAGAGGACGGACACGCTGAGCCGACATGAGGCCACACCTCCTGGCTCTGAAGGTTTAGGCTGTTTGTTAAGACGTGACCATGTTATTGGATAATGCCCAGTAAGCTTGGTGATACCTGCAACAATCAGCTGATTTCTGGAATTTCACTCACCAAAACTGGAGCTCCGCCTCCTCAGATGCTCTGTGAGTACAGTGACTCACAGCACCGATATTACTGGTCACATGATGTCACTAAAAATGCTCCAAAAGGCTCCAACAGCTAGCAGACAACTAGCAGCTACAACCACCTGTGCCACCATTCACCTGTCACTCACAGAGGCCACGCCCCTAATAATGCTAACTTTAACTCAGCTGAGTTATAAAAACATTGTCCCTCCGTACAGGTGCTATAAAGGAGGAAGTGATCCACAGAGACCAAACAGTTTGTGTACCACGTGTTTCTGATGGAAGGTTTAACATGGGAGTCTATGGGGACGGACTCGCTGCCGCCCTCTGTCGGACGTCAGAGGAACTGCAGGTTTCATGTTCTTGTTGCTGCTTGGCGGTAAAGAGAGATTTGTCACTAATAACAGAGACGATGCTGGAAAGTGATTTGGTGTAAAATGTTTTTGAAGCATTTCTTTCTAAGAGGCCACAAAGCTGAAACCTTTTGGACGTTTTATATTTGACATATTTGAAGCTGATCAGCTGTGAACAGTGTTGGTCAAGTTACTTGAAAAAAGTAATCAGTAAGTAATTACTGATTACTTCCCCCAAAAAGTAATCCCGTTACTTTACTGATTACTTATTTTCAAAAGTAATTAATTACTTAGTTACTTAGTTACTTTCTAAAAACACGATTTACAACCTGAA